TTTGTATTTGTGTATTCCAAGTGGTTAGGATAGATATATAGTTGCATTCTCTTAATGAATAGAATGATTTGTTCTAATGGTGTTTGTAAATAGATCTCAAGTCCACATCATATACAGCAATTAACCACTAAGAAGAATATATGCAGTGTGATATTTGTTGGAACTGTACTTCTGATGTGATTTGAAACTGTCTCATTGCTGTTTATCAATAAAATTTTGAAAAAAAAAAAGAAAATATTCATTATTTATTACTAAGAGGAAAAACTCAGGCCAGAAAAGGATACATAATTCTATGATTGCAATAAAAACTCACATACAGATATTTGAATATAGTCATAGTGAAGATGAAAGGTATTAAGCTTGTCCCCAGCACTTGTTTTTTCTTTTTATGTATATAGGGTCTACTGGGTCTCACGACCCAGATCGGACTCTTAGTGATTCTGTTTGCAGCTTCCCAAAGCTGGGATTAGAGGCACACACCATCACACCCACTCCCCATGTCAGCGGGCCTCGGGGATGGAGCTGGCATGGTATGCTGAGGATCAAACCCTGGGCCTAAGCAGGTGCTTTAATCTGCTGAGCTATCTGGCCGGCCCTTGTTGATAAGCTTGAAGTCTATTAAATCCAGTATGAATTGCGAGGCTTCTCTTGTTACCTTTCTTTGTGATGGCAATCTCAGATGGTGCTGTCTCTGATTTGGGCTGAGAAGCCGAATCTGGCAGATCTCCGTTATGAGGGCTTGGTGACGGTTCAGGATAAATCGGACCCGAGTCAGGACTCGTGCTCACGGTCCCATCTGCAAAGAGAATCTGAGGAGAAAATGAAAAAATGAAAGTCCTCAGCCTGCTCCCAAGCAAGAGGAGGATTGGCTAGCAATGCGCACTGTGCGTAAAACAGAAACAGGTCCAAATAATCCAAAGAAGAAAGGCTGCTGGGAGGTCTCAAGGCTCATATCACCGAGCATGTTACTGCAGACAGAGGCGGCAGTTTAGCAGCCAGCAGATTATGATTCTATATGCTCCATTTAATTTCTGTTTTCTGTCTTTTATTGGCTAACTCTGAGATTTTTCTTTTCTTTCACCCTTAACCTATGTAATTGGAGAACTGCTTACTCTCTTTTAAAATGATTCAAATGACTGACTATGTTTTTAGACAAGGTCTTGCTATGTGGTCCGTGCTAACTTTGAACTCACTGTGTAGCCCAGGCTGGCCTTGAACTTGCAGTTCTCCTCTTACCACAGCCTCCTTAGTGCTGGAATTGCAGGTGTGTGCCCCCACACCTGGCTAAAATATTAATCACATATTTAAATATCTAGTTTCTATTAGTATCTATCTACTATGCATCATAACTCTAGGTATTGTAGACACGGCCATCTGTATGTACAGCAGAACATGACCAGGAAGCCAGTGCCAGTCTGGTTCTCATTCTTTCTTAGGTAACTGAAAGTTTTGCAAACTTCCCATCTGCTGAGACCTAAAATTGCAAAATGACTTATTTATACTTTCTTTTAACAATCAATTAGTGCCAGTCTTGATGGATACTCCATCACTCTGCTTAATCTGAATTAGTTTTTAAGATTATGGTATGATTATTTGATTATTATTATCTTTTATTATTTCCTCCATACTATTTTTTCTTCTGGATATTCTAGCACATAAATCCCTTTTTCACATCTCTAAATGCTTCTCTCTCTCCTAATCCACTCCTTCTGGTAGTTGTTCCTTAAAAATTATTTTTAACTTGTAGGGATGTTTGATATTTTCCATAGCAATTTTTACAAATTCTTATTTTATGAATTTTTAGCTTCTCAAGTCTCTACTTACATTCCTTTTACTTATTTTTATTTTTTTTTTTTTTGCTTGAGTATTTGCTCTTAATTCTAGGTGATTTAAAGAAACTTTTACTGAGTTTTATATTCTATTTTCATGTGGTTGCCCTCCTTCTAAGGTTGATGTTTTTTGACCTTATTTCTCCTTGGGAACCCCTTTTGTTTGTTCATGGTACAGGGCCTATTTATAATAGTGCTGCCTTGTGAAATTTGGGTAGGGCTTACAGTTTCTATGTTTTGTGATTTCTAACTCCCAAGGAAAGCGTTACCTCTGGAACTACTAACTTGAGCACAAAGGTGACCTATCCATTATAGTCCCTTTTGAGCTTTAAAGTGTTTCTTTAAAAAGCTGTGTTACAACATCACTTTAGATCATGCCAAGAAAGGACAATTTTATTTGTATCCTGTTGGTATAGATATTTTTTTTCTTCTAACTATAATAATCTTCATTTTCTAATTTAAGATGTCACTCTATTTGTCTTTGGTCTCTGCTATCATACTGTTTCTTTCTCACAGCCCATCTGTCCTTCAGTTTCCAGCAAGGGGATTATATAATATATTCCTTTACTTGTGAGGATCCATCCAGCATGTACTTGACAACAGTGCCTTGACTGGTGATAACTCTGGATGCCTCCTGCTCCATCGGTGGCATCACTGTTTTATAGAACTCATAGTGCTTCATCCTTTGAGGGTAGCGCTGGCGGATCATGATGTCCCAGATGGGTTCTTCATCCACAAGCTGCAGACCTTAAGAAACAAAAAGGAATAAAGCTATTCTGTCAATAGGGCAATCTACGGGAATGAGAACTTATTTTCTTGTTTCTGTTTACATCTGAATAACAAGGGAGTTTTCATGCCTTGACAGATGGACCAGAAAACTTGATTTTGTTGACTTGTTATGTACTCAAAAGTAGTAATGTCATCTGCAGGCACATGATAGGTGCTTTCTTCATGACTATGCCTTTCTCTGGAAGGAAGCCCAGAAAAGTCCAGGGCAACCATCTGAGACATTTCTTTCTTTTTTTTTTCTTTCTTGCATTTTCCTCTTGTGGAACTGGAGATTGAACTCAGACCCTTGCGCTTGCCAGGAAAGGGCTTATTCTATAGAGCCATCTCCCTGGACTCATTGATCTTTAAAGTATTTCTTTTTTCCCCCATAATTTTATTGAGAAACAAATAGCAATGAGACAGTTTCAAACCAAATTGGTAGGACAGTTTCAATAATTCACACATTGCACACATTCTTTCTAGTGGTTAATTGCTGTATAAGATGCGGACATGCTATCCTATTTACAAACACTATTAGAACAAATCCTTCTATTCATTAAGAGAATGTAACTATGTATCTATCCTAACCACTTTGAATACACAGATACAAAATGGACATTCATCTGTATCCCTTTTTTCTTGTTATTTCTATTATTTGAATATTATAGTTGTGTTAACTCAGCAAAATATTCCAAAAGAGTCCAGTAGTCCATAATAGTATTGGGTCTTCTGCTTCACTGGCAATGTCAGAAATTGTTGTCCTGAGTCCCCTACAGCTCAACATAAGAGCATGGCTTTACTTCTTATACTTCATTTTTATACTTTTCTGCTGGATGGTTAAGACCAAGATAAAGCAAGACCTATGCAACAAGAGTTGTAGCTTTTGGTCTGATAAGGTCAGTGAAATCCCCTCAGGATTTACCCTGAGATCCTGTACCTCAGATTGTAGAACCTTTGTCAGTGTCAGCCATGTGGATGAGTCACAGCCATTGCTTGGCCAATGTGCTCTCTGTGAAATCCTGAGAGAATGTTTTCTCCTCATGTGACTCTCCTTAGGCACACTCTACATCATCAATCAATTTCCTCTTTGGCCCCATAATCTCCTTGATCAGAAAATTTGGGACACTATTGAGTTACATGACGTAAAGTGTTTCTTTAAAACGTTATGTTACAACATCACTTTAGATCATGCCAAGAAAGGACAATTTTATTTGTATCCTGTTTACCTGTAAAATCCTTACTCTTCTGAAGCCTTGATATCTTTATTTTGTAAAAAGGAGTTATTGGTACCTAGCTCATAATATTTTGTTTTCTACATTTGTTAGGTACTTAGTGCTTGGCCATAGTAAAAGGTCAAAGCAGGTTATTATCACCATTCTCATTAGTTGAAAATAGTCTTGCTCATTAGCAGCAACAGACATGATTAACAAGCAGGAAACCACACATATTTAAATGGCATTCTGATAGTTTAGTTTTCTTACATGGATTTTTGCCCCTGCCTCCCTTTCTCCACCCATCCCTACTCACCTGTAGACTCTTGCCCAATGAAGGTCAGCAAAAGCCCATTAGGACAAGACACATTTAGGTTTTGGAAGGTAGGGAAAGAAGGAGACTCTTTTAAGGGAGGTTCTGGTTCTTCTTCCTGTAAATAATGTTGTGTGTGAATATTTATCATTTTCTAAATAAATAATTATTTTGGCTAAACAAGGACTTAGTGGGAGCTTAATATAACTGGAGAATGGCTAAATAGATCTTGGAGGGATGCATGAGTCTTGACCTTTGAAAATACTGTATTCTACTTATAGAAGGGCACTTAGGAAATAGATGAGGCAATCAAATGGCAGTACCAAATGGATGGCACATCTTCTCTCAGAAAATGGAGAAATTATTAGAAATAATTAGGGATTCATGAGGGAGTTTTAGTTTTAATCTCTTGTTTTTAGTGATACCAGGGATCAAACTCTGGACCTTGCACTTGCCAGGCAAGCACTTACTCTACTGAGATATCTCCCCAGCCCCATAAGTTGTAGTTTTGAGGGAGGCTTTGAATCATGTTTTCACCTGGATGTGGAGAAGGACAATGCTATGGTCTGAATGCTGTCACTTCTTCTATTCCCAAATTTATATGTTGAAACCTAATACCCAGAGTGTAGGCTTTGGGTATTAGGTAAGAGATAGGCTTAGGGAAATGATTTCATCCTGATGGTTCTTCTTTATGACTGGGATTTACATCCTCATGGAAGACAAATGAGGACCCATAGAAAGTGCCATTTATAGAAACAAGCACTCACTGACACTGAGTCTGCTAGCATTTTGCCTCCAGAACTTGAGCAATAAAACCCAATTCCCTATAAATCATTCAGTGTCAGGTGTTTCCTGATACCAGCTCTAAACAGACTAAGATGGATAGAACATCTCTTATGCATGTGTAATCCTTACGCTTCATGTGAAAGAGATATGATGCTTTTCTAATATTTGCCATTATGTTTCTATCATGATGTAGTAAGTAAAAGCAACAACAACAAAAAGATAGTGAAGTTTTATTTATAAAGTAATGAGGGTTTAGGTGTGCACACTTCAAAATTATAATTAATTATATATATTTATGCCTGAATCCCTTGCTTGGTTATACGTACTCAAAAATGAAAGCTGTTGCACTCCCCTGGCAAGTGCAAGGGCCTGAGTTCAAAAAATTTAAGATGAAAAGTATTTAGGTTTTTTAGTCCATTCTCTTTTTTGTTAGCCACTTGTATCTTTCAAACAATATGTCATTGATGAATCTTTCTATCATTGACCATTTAAGTTGTCTTGTATTTTTCACACTAATGGAGGAAAGATAGAAATAATTCTTAAAGTATGTGTGTGTGGTGTGTTTGTGGGTGTGAGCATGTGTGTGTGTGTGTGTGTGTGTGTGTGTGTGTGTGTGTGTATGTGGCCTCTCATGAGTACTGGAGTAGAAATTGGACTGTCCATTAGCCCTGCTGAATTCTTAGCTTTTCAATATCCAAGTCTGAGTCTAACACATGAAATTTTCTCCATTAGTTATGGATCTTCATGTTACAAAGATTGTCTATCTCTACAGAGCTACATGGAATGATAAAAACAACAAATACTAGGAACTTAACCAACTAAAAACAAAAACCCAGAGAGCTCAGTAGAGAAGGCTGACCTAGTGATTCTCAATTTAGAATGAATGACCTGAAACAATTTGTGTGTGTCAGTGTCCCTTGGAGTGGAAATTCAACTTCTGTGAAAATCCTCCTGTGCACTCCAAGTTGACACTATGGGGAACGTGCAAAGTGAAATATGTTTCCTGTGATAACACGGTAGACATACGTCATGGTTTTTAACAAGTCAACATTGAGGCAGAAACTGGGTTTGGGGCTCTGCAGTAAGACCCATTTTACCTTTTTCTCTTCTTCTTTTGGGTGCTCCTCTTCTTTAAGGGATTCCTTTGGTTTTTCTTTGCCTTTTGATTTCCCTTTTGCTTTGCCTTGAGGAACATTCACTATAGTAGGGATCACAGTTGGAGTAAACGCTGAAGGGATATTCAACATTGCCTCCAAATTAGGATCCTTATCCTCTATAAATGAGAGGAAGAAAGTAAATTAAGTACTCCTAACATTTGCACCTCAAAATTTACACAAATTGTCAACAGTTTTTAACCTATATAAATATGTTTAATCAGTTGGATATTTTTCAGGGTAATGTAGCTAATTTGAAAATCAGGAAGATTGTAGTTAGAAAATATCAGAGATTATTAATATTTTAGTATGCTTGATTAATTGAGTCATTATGTCACATGTTCTTGCCTGTCTGTCAGCACTATAAACATGTTAAGGATAGAGAAATTCCTTTCCATTCACTATATATGTAAAAAGTAAGAGTCCTATCAAGTGAAAATAGTCTAAATCTAGACTATTTTCCAAATAGCAGAATATTCAGTTGTGTCCCAAATTTTCTGATCAAGGAGACTATGGGACCGCAGAGAAAAGTGATTGATGATGTAGAGCATGCCTAAGGAGAGTCACATGGAGAGAAAACATTCTCTCAGGCTTTCACAGAGAGCAAATTAATTAAGCAATGGCCATGACTCATCCACATGGCTGACACTGACAAAGGATCTACATATTGTGGTCCAGGGTTTCAGGCTAAATCCTGAGGGGACTTGACTGACCTTATCAGATACAAAAATTACATTTCTTGTTATATAGGTCTTGCTTTCTCTTAGTTTTAGCCATCCAGCAGAAAAGTATAAAAACAAAGTATAAAAAGTAAAGCCATATTAATATGCTGAGCTATAAAAGGCTCGTCAACAACTTCTGACATTGACAGTCTTAGGGAAAACCCACTACTATTATGGACTACTAGACTATATTGGAATATTTTGCTGAATTCACACACCTTTAATATTTAGCGATAATGGAATACTCATCTCTGACAAAACTAAACAAAAAAATGAGATACAAATGAATGACCATTTTGTATAACTGTATATTCAAAATAGGATAGATATACAGCTACATTCTCTTAATTCAATGAATAGAAAGATTTGTTCTAATAGTGTTTGTAAACAGGATAGCATGTCTACATCTTATACAAGGAATAACCACTAAGATAATACAATGTATTAATTATTGAACCTGTCATACTAATCAGATTTAAAACTCTCATTGCTATTTGTTTCTCAATAAAATTATTTTAAAAATCACATCTTTTTCATCAAAAAATTATTAAAATGTGAAAAAAGCAAAATAGCAGAATAAAAAGCATATTAAATAGAAGCGCAAGAAATGACACAAAGAAGGAAAACCAGGGAAAAAATAGCTTATTTTGGCTGAGGTCACACACACACACACACACACACACACACAGAGTGTGTTTTTTTCCTGATTGTAAAGGTTTGCTGGGTTTCTGAAAACTGAAGAGGAGTTACACGTTAAGTCCCAGACTGCCTCTTTCATCTTGAATTCTGTTCCCTGTGGGTTCCATTACTCTGGTCAATTTTTTTTTCTTAATGTTCTTCACTGGCTCTTCCTTTTTAGTCAGTTAACTTATTAAATTCTTGACTATGATATTCCATAACAGTATTTCTGGACTTAAAAACAACTCCTCAAGCCTATAGAAGATAAGGCTTGGGAAGTTACATCTATGAAATGCTATCTGTAACTGTGATACAGAGCCAGAGCTGTGCATCTTTGTATATAATTTTAGAGCCAGACAATCTCACTCACTCTTGGGGCTCTAAACACCAGCTTCCTCCTCCTGACTCCAAAATTTACCTGACATTCCATCTCAGTTCCAAGTCAACACTGCTAACTGCTTTTTAGCATCTCCTGGTTGTGGTTCTATAGGTACTTGAAACTCTATTAAGAAACCAGTCATATTGTCCTTGTTTTCACTTATTACCCTCTTTTTAAAAGCAAACATTTACTTGAGAGACAGTATAGTAGTAATTGATATGACATTAGAAGCAGTATGTATTTAGCAGACCATAAGGACAGGCACTCCAAGCATGGCCCTAGTATTACACATTGCTATCTTCAGTGCAGTTGCTTAGTTCACAGGTATCAGCATATATAGTTATTGTAACTGTCCTACTAACCTGCTTTGAAACTGTCACATTGCTATTTGTTTCTCAATAAAATTAATGAAATAAAAAACACTATTAGTTCAAACTTTCTTCTCATTGAACTAAGCAGCTGCACTGAAGATATAATGAACTGTTCCTGCAGAAAAAGGCTCCAGAGTAGGCAGATACATAGATCTCCATGATCTGCACTAATACCCAGTTTCAAGGTTGTATAAAATAGGGGTTATGATTCTGTAATGCTTTTTTAAAAATGCTGTGGTTAAATCCCTTTAAAATGCGTGGAAACCCACAGATTTCCTAATTGGTTCTTGGTAAAGTGAAATATTATTTTGTGGTATGAAAGGAAATAGCTTCCAGTTGGAAAATTTATTTATTGAAAGTGGAGGAGAGAAATCCTTCAAGATGCCCAATGAATAGCTCCTTTAAGACTAATATCCCGAAACACACTGGGCAGTTCCACAATCACAGAATTCATAAAAATATTATTCTGCAGAAAACCAAAAGGATTTCTTGGTAAATCATGCTTTCTTTGGCACTAACCTACAGAATCATTTTCATGGGGTAGTTAACAAAGCTAAGTGGAATATATATGGGTATATATATATGTATATGATCTTATATATATGTATGCAATTATATGAAATATTATATAGATAACAAATGGTTTTCAAATGGCCAGAGCTTTATTCTCATTTGCTATGTATGAAAGATGATATATGTACATATATAAACATACTATGTACACATATTGTACCACACAGTCCTTATACCTTCACCTTGTAAAAAAATTATGAGGCATAAAACAGAGCCAGTTTATTGACAGTGTGTAGACTGAGGGTGGGCAGTGACTCTGGCTATGGACACACATCTTGTCTTTAGCATTTATTTCACCTGGCACCGTTCCATTTGATCCATAGTAACTTATTGAGAGACAGATTCCATTTTCTAAGGTGGCAGAAAAAGATCCAAATGTGCTGACAGCTTTGCTCTCTGCACGAGATACTTCTAGAAGACAAAAAGCAAACCAAGGGCATTTTAATTTTTATTTAAAAGAAGTGTAACTAAAATTTATGGGGAAGGCTGGAGCTCAGGGTCTCAGCTGGGTCATCACAATCAATTTAAAAATAGTCGGTGTAGACACTACCATGCTTGTACTTGGGGATAGTAGAAGTAGGCAGAATCATAAAGATGCGAGCAGGAGATTTTTGTTTTAAGGGTTTTAGTTTGAAATTAAGAGAGGGTATACATTGTTTAATAGTATACACATATGCATATTTTGGTTTGGTAGATAATCCATATGACTTTCTAAACTGAAAACCACCAAGTCTGTCACAATTTCCTCACATAACACCACATTCTTCAAACTCCACATTTAAAATTTTTTATATTCTACAATTATTTCAGTCAGACATAGTTTTAAATCACAATTTATTGAAGCATATTCTTCAAGCATGTATGAAGAATTTGTAAATGTTGTCTTCTGTTGTATTATTTCCAGTTCACATCTCCTCTTATCATACAAAGAAGGCGAGACAATACTGATCTAAACTCTCTTAAGCCATGAAGAGACTATTTCTAGGCAGGGAAAGTCAGACGAGCAGTGGAACAAAAACACAACGTTTCATGGGATGAAAGTATTTGTAAGATGTTTGTAAAAGATATACATGATAAAGGGCTGTTATACACAGCATATTAAAGAAAAAACTTTGAAATTCCAAAATAAGAAAACATATACAGCTCAACTAAGAAATATGCCAAAGGTTTTTACAGCTGAAGAAGATATCCAGGTGGCAAATAAGCACACAAAAAGATGTTCAGCTCCATATACCATAAAGAAAATTTCAATTAGAGCAATGAGCTGCCACTACATATCTACTGGAATGAAGAAATTCTCAAACACTGACAACATCAAATGAAATTGAGTATACAGAGCAACAGGAACTCTCATTCACTGCTGGTGAAAATGAAAAATGGTACCTTCCTTTAGAAGACAGTTTTCTGGTTTCTTTTATTTTCTTTCTTCTTTTCTCTTTGTCTTCTCCCTCCCTCCCTCCCTCCCTCCCTCCCTCCCTTCAATTTCTCTTTTCTTTCCACACTAAGGATCAAGTCCAGGGCCTTCTCATTGAAATACATCCTTAGTGTGTCCTTGAGAAATATTTCATATTTTTTGGAAGAAGGCCTCACCAATGCCAGTCTGGACTTGAATTTGTGATCTACCTGCTTCAGTTTCTTAACACGCTTGGATTATAGGTGTATGTGTCCGTATTTAGCCTAGTGTGGGAAATTCTTAGAAAACATAATCTTATATGACCTGACAATCTTTGGTACTTACCCAAGTGAGTTAAAAACTTACATCTACTCAAAAATCTGCACATAGATATTTATAGGACCGCACCTTTATTAATAATCATCCAAACTTGCAAACAATCAAGTTGTCTTTCAACAGGTGAATGTACAAACTGTGGTGCCTCAAGGCCGTTGAATATTAATGTTAAAAACAAATGAAATATCAAGAAATAGAAAGCAATGGTGGAAAATTAAATGCATATTAGTAGGTGAAGAAAGCCAAAGTGAAGAAGCCACAAGTTGTATAATTTCATCTATACAACATTCTGGAAAAGGCAAAACTACTGACACTCATGATGAGATCTTTTGAGATGGGAGAAGAGGAGAACTGTAAATACAGAATACAAAATTTTAGAGCATAATACTGCAATAATGGGTATGTGTTGTAATGTTTGTTACACAGAAAATGTATATCAGGTGTCAACTGTCACGTAAACTATGGTCTTTGAGTGGCAATGACCAAAATGTTCATCATCAATTGTAGCAAATACATTACTCTATGAGAAGAAATGAAAGAGAAGAAATCAAGCTGTCCTTTATTGAGAATTATTGTTCGGTCTAAATAGAGTGATATCACAAAGAATAGTGACACTTCATGAGGACATATAGAGAAGACAGTTTTTAAATTAAATATTCCTATTGGAGTTCGAGGTGAGTATGATGCCTGTTAAAAACTGAGGGGCTGGGGAGATGGCTCAGTAGAATAAGTGCTTGCCGGGCAAGTGCAAAGGCCTGCGTTCAATCCCCGGTTCTGGAAAAAAAATTGATAACAATGGGCTGGGGAGATAGAATAAGTAACTACCTGACAAGCTCAGGGTCCTGGGTTTGATCCCTGGTACCACAAAACCAAACCAAAACAGAGCAGGAAAAACAACAACAAAAAAACTTGATAGTAAGTGAGAGAAGATCATGTGTAAAGGCATGCAATGTATGAGACATCTTGGTACTTTTGTCAATTTTACTGAAAGAATCTGCTTTAATAATATAGTCTAAAAGATAATGCTTGGTGTTAATCAGGGTGCATGGACATAGACATCTCTGTGCATCATTAATAAGAGAGTCTCTCAGTAGGGTTTTGAAGAAAATTCCTTTAAAATATCATTTAAGGGAGTTGTGTGGAGAAAGAAACATTACTTAAAAAATAGAGTACATACTAAAAATATAAACATCATGGAAGAGAAAAAAACATTTGGGCTTTTAAACATGTAAATATATTTTTAAAAACACTTAGTACAATTTAGAAATATGTTTTCTTAATCAAATCATTGGACATTTTACAGATGAATGGAAGGGAAGGTTGGTCATGATTGAGGTTCAACAAAGGTTTCTTGAAAAGTCAAGTGAAAACAGTACCTCAAAGCCCAGATCAGTGTCAGTGAGTCAGTGAGTCAGTGAATCAGTGAGTCAGTGAGTCAGTGAGTCTGTCCGTCCGTCCGTCTGTCTGTCTGTCTGTCTGTCTGTCTGTCTGTCTGTCTGTCTGTCTGTCTTAGTTCCTTTTCTCTCATTTCTGGGACAAAATACCTGACACCCACAATTAAAGCAGGAAAGATTTCTTTAGCTCACAATTTGTGGACGTTTCACTCCATCATCAGTCAGCTCCAAGGCAGGGTGACCTGGCACAGGGGCAATAGCTCAAGATGACAGAAGACAGCAAAGCACCAAGAGCAAAAGGGAGAAAACAAGCCTCTTTTCTTCACTTATATTGTAAGCAGGTTACCGCTGACCCCAGGGGGGTGATGTGCTCATGACATCTCTGTGTCCTCCTCTTGCACAGGATGGGGATGTTTACAAAGTGAGGAGCCTGGCCTGCTGCTGAGATAAACTTCTAAGCTTCTTAAGTTGACACAATGTATCATCTATCTATCTATCTATCTATCTATCTATCTATCTATCTATCTTTTCTCTTTTTTTGTGGAACCGGGGATTGAACTCAGGCCCTTGTGCTTGCCAGGGAAGCGCTTATTCCACTGAGCCATCTCCTGGGCCCTTTCTTATCTTTTCAGGGAAAGCATTCCTATAGAAAGAAGTCATGAAGAAGACATGAGATTTAAAAGTCAAATTTTTACATATTGGGGCAGAAGAAAAAAAAAAGGAACAAATAAAAGTGACTGAAAGATTAAATCAAGATTTAAAGAAAAATTCTCTGACTTTGAGCTGGAGCTTGAGCCTCAGATTATAATAGTTCATCAAATTAAAGCAACACTGAAATTCCATCTCACACCAGAAAGAATAGTTATCATCAGAATGCTTAATCTGTTGCCTAGCAAGTGCAGGGTCCTGAGCTCAACCCCTGATACAAAAAAAAAAAGCCTAATCTGAACTTCTTTGAAAATAACAATTTGCAATATAACAACCATTGCTGATTTCCTACTATCTTATTTTGAAATTCTGCATCATTTTTAATGTCTAATTTTTTAATCTTTAAAATAAAATAAATTAATCAGTAACAAATGCTGGAGGGACTGAGGGGCAAATGAACCCTTCTTACTGTTGATAAGAGTGTAGACTAGTCTAACCACTGTGGAAACTGGTAAGGAGTTTCCTCAGAAAGCTAGGATTATAGGTTCTATTCAACTCAACTATTCTACTTCTGGGCATCTTCATAGAAGAATTAAAAACATCATAACAGAAATATATGTGCACCCATGTTTATAGCAGCATAATTTGAAATAGTTACATCTTGGAAACAAGCCAAATACTCATCAACTGATGAATGGATAGAAAGATGTGGTCTTGCACAATGAAATATTACTCAGCCATAAAGATAGATAAACTTGAAAATTTTATAGCTAAATGGATGCAACAAGAGACCACACTTGTAAGTAAAATGAATCAAAATTACATGTGTAAACATCATATTGTCTCCCTGTTATAAGAAGCTGAAAGATTAAGTAAGGTCCAAAATGCACAACAGATATTGTGAAATGGGAGGAAATATTTCAAAAGGAAAATGGAGTTAGGATTGGAGAAAGGAGAAAGGACACAATGAAAAAGGAAAATAATGCAAGACAGGTATACTAATAGTTTCTCTTAGTTCATTAAAGAAAAACGTTTGCACTAATATCATTTGGAGAACATTTTTATATCCAAATCTTGTACTCTGAGTAGCTCCTCCAAAGATAACAATACTGAAGTGTATACACTATTGTTATGGTATTATTCCATCATGAAATATTATTTATTTTTCATAAAAAACAAATAATTCAATTTGAAAGTGAAAAAAATTCTTTTTTTTTTTTTTTTGGCTGAACCAGGGATTGAACTCAGGCCCTTGCGCTTGCCAGGGAAACGCTTATTCTATTGAGCCATTTCCCCGGCCCTTAAAAGTGAAAAAAATTCTGAAGTTATAAACTAGTACAATAAGAAATAAGAAAAGGATGAAAACCAAAGGTTGGTATAACCAGGTTCTAGAGAAAATTAAAGTTGAAATTACAAACAATAATCTCAGACTGAAATGCTTACTATTAGAGCTAAAGTTGGATATTATTTAACATGCAAAAATGACATGATTGAATTATTTTATGCATAAAAATATTCACTTTAGTAGAAACCACCTCAGTAAGCAAAAACATGAAAATAATTAAGAACATTGTGACACATGTTTATCAATGAATTTTTTTTTTTTTTTGTATTTTAGGGAAGGGTCTACAGGGTAGTAAGGGTCTTACTACCAGATTGGACTCAGTGATGCACCTGTTTATAGCCTCCCAAGACTTGGATTATAGGTACGCACCACCAAGCCCAGTGTCAATTGCCATCTCAGCATGCCCTGGGGACAGGGCCAGCACAGCCAGCCTGGGGATTGAACCCCTGACCCCTGTGCCTGCTTATAGGCACTTTAATACACTGAGCTATTTCTCCAGTCTGACAGGTCCTTTGTGTGTGTGTGTGTGTGTGTGTGTGTGTGTGTGTGTGTGTGTGTTTCCTGAGCTTGAACTCAGGACTTTGCGTTCACCATGCAAGTACTTATTCCACTGAGCTATCTCCCCAGCCCTATCAGTGAAATATTAAATTATTAAAAAATATTGTTTTCAAAGAAAGTTTAGTGACTAGTAAAGTACACTATGAACAGTTGTGATCTCCAAGGTAGTAGAATTATACTATTTATTTATTTATTTATTTTTTCATTTAAGAAGTGAGTACATAAATGAATATTTTTTATTTTAAGCCACTTAAGTTGAAATACCTAACATAAAGCAAGTATTTCTCACTACATTCTGCTTATTAATCATATAGATAAAATTAAGAGAACAATTTTCCATGATACAAAGTAGCATCATTTCTCTAGCTTATTTTATAGCAAGAGAAACCAGCAACAAAGTGAAGAGATGCAAAATGGGAAAACATTTTACTAGCTATTCTTCAGAAAAAAGCAATAATATCTAGAATATAGAAAGAGCTCAAACCGATTCTCCAAATTTAAAGACCCAGTCAAAAAAGGAGCATCTGAAATGAATCAACATTTCTCAGAAGAAAAAGTGCAAACATCAAATAAATATATGAAAAGAATGCTCGACATCACTGGTCATTCAAGAATTGCAAGATAAAACAACACTGAGACTGAGCTCCACGGTGGTTGTACCAGTTTACACTCCTATCAGCTACGGAAAGAGGTTCCTTTTTCCCCCATATCCTCACTGGCATTTGTTACGCAACCATTCCTTCTGGTAGTAGAATTATAAAAAATGGTCATTGTATTTTTTAAGTGTTTGGGTCAGGGCCCCACTACATATTTCAAGGTGGCCTTGAAGCCCCTCAGCTGTCTGAGCTGACCTCTAACTCTTGGTCCTCTGGCCTTAGGCTCTCCAGTGCTGGCATTTCTGGTGTGCATCACCAAATCTGACTTACCTATTACTTTCATTAGATGTTTCTTTATTTTAAAACTTTTAGAGTAATCAGTATATTTTGATATCAGCTATAACAAAGAAACATGTAAACTTCTATGTGCTAAGTTTTTGGGTACATTCACACTTGTCAAATATCATGCTGGGGTAATGTTGCTGTAACTATACTTACAGGTAAGATTCAGCTATTGATCCTGTCAATAAAAGGACTTGAAAGTATTTTAATGGTCAATCATGTCCTCTTGTACATATAAGTCATACAACCTTGGACAAGAAGCAGTGGATTTGTCTGGAGATTTTCAGTGGTGTTATTAGGAAGTCCATTATGTTTAATTAACAGAGATCCACAACGACCTCTCATCTGTAATCAGGTAATGAATTTCACGGCCAAATCTATGTTTTTCTCTTGTTCTTGAAGCCTAGAAAATTTGTGCTTTAGCGAGAACTAATAGATAGGAAGAAAGACATCACTGAAATGAATATTGGCCAGGAAGTAAATTTCAGTAGGAACCAATTAAGGAAGACCCTGGCTCCTGGAGGCTGGAAGGACAGGAGAGATGTTACACACTACGTGCTGCTGATTAATGGTAGCTGGCCTGGCTAGGCCCAGTGTGTCAGCTGGTCAAGAGCTGGCCTTCTGGAGGCAACGGAGCTGGTCACCAGCCCAGTGGAGGCTAGCTATTAATGTAGTGTGTTTCTATACTACACGAGGAAAATGCACATAAGCAGAAAGGCAAATTATCTCAGATTGTGAGGTAAGGCAGAAGTAAAGAAAGGACAGAGACAAAGAAAATCAACATTTTAAAATTATACTTTTAAGAACACTGTGAGCTCAGGCCACAAAGTTAGCCAAGGTTACAACGCCTGCCCCTATTTGATGAAACTCACTTCAAAATTCCTAAGAGTCAAATGCACAAATCTGCCCTGTGCCTTCTACCTGTAAGTTGAGCCCATGCCCTTCACTGCAAATTGGATCTGCTCTTCTAGTACTGCAGATACCCAAGTTCCACAGACTTCCACTTTCATGGAAACAGCACTGTATTGATTCTCTAAACTTCAAAGACTATGTTGGGTACCCTGACTCATGCTAGGAATATAAAGTTTAGAGTATCCACCTTGAGGACACTCTGAAGCATACAAATACCCCTACGCTAGATCATGAAGCTCTTCACCTGCTAGGAAATGTGAGGTGCAAGTAGATAGTAGGTATCTATCAGCTAGACACTATGAAACTTGTGGGCCCTTTTGTAAAGGCCCACAAACTATTTTCTCTGAGTATGTACCAAATAAGCCTGTGTTGGCCTCTGACTCATGCACCCTGAAATCCTTTTTCTGTGATCGAAGCCAGTGAATTTATTCTGTGGGTGGAGTGAGTGTAGGTCTCCCACCCTTGTTTGGGGAGACCTTCACTCACCCTGTCTAAGAATGAGCAAATTGCAGGGCAGGGGAGGCCCCTATGTTTTTTCTTGGGAATGGCTTGACACACTGCTTACGTATTAACCACAAAGATTCAGGTGCTTACTTGCTTCATGATTTTGTTCCTCACCCTTTTCTTCTTTCTTTTCTGAAGAATCAATTTCTTCTTCACTTTGATTTTTCACCAAATTCTTTGGATCTTTTAAGTGAATTATAAAATTATGCTTGTCCTTTTTCACTTTCACTTTGATAAACGTTGGGCCTGAGGAAGAGCCATGGAATAAGATGGTTAGGATGATGAGGATGCCATGTGAAGCCCCTTTACTAGATAGTCGCATACTACAGCGCAAACTTGGACCAGGGAGTGGACTACCTGAGCACGTTGGCATAGATGATGCATTAAGGAGTGTGGGTAGAGGAGGTACCTGAGGCACTCTAGTCACATGTCAAACCCAGATAGATTGGCTGAGGCTATATGTGCCTATAATAAATTTTATGATTCATCAATGTGAGAGGGTTTTTTTTATTTAAAAAATAATTAGTATCTGTTATTATTATTATAGTAGTTATTTTTCTAATAACTCATTCTTTAAATGCTCTCATTCATTTTTATTCAACTTTTGTAGAATCTCTTTTTAAAAGTCCAGCCTTTTATTTTCAACTTTGATTGAGCGATACTTCCAAATTGGTAAGTTTGGGATGAAAATACTGCACTTACTCTAAGACAGGTGAAATTTAACACACTGTATACATGTGTAAATATTAATCAGAGCTAAAATAGCTGCAGGAGGCCCCCAAGCTCTGTGGTCTAGAGTGCAAACCAGAAAACTGCTGCAAACTCACATTATGAGATAAGTGTATGCTGAAATTAATATTATTCATTACCTATTTGCTTAATGCAGTTCCTAATATGCTACTTTGCAATCATGTATAAGTATTTTAATAATTGGCATGGTCCCATCAATATGTCCAAGCATAACTTTGGGCTGATGTACGCCTTGCAGAGACCGTTAAAACAGACTATGAAGTTTGAAAATGCTGAATGTGATGCATACATGAATTGCAGTGGCTATCCTGACAGCTTTATCTGTCCCATGCAGGAGTACAAAGTCTCTTGATTATCTGAGATGCATTAACCTCTTTCAAACCATTAACCAGTTGTGTTTCAAATGTACCTTTTTCAAATGTTGTCTTTTCTACTTCAATCTGCCCTCCATCAGAAGGATATAGATAATAATTTGCCCCTGAGATTTGGATAGGTGTATCTCCCATATTGTATCCTAGGAACTAGAAGAAAAAACATCATGCTTTGAGTGTGGGATGGCAGTTGACAAAAATCAACTTATCAGTGTTACCCAACTAAAGTTGTGATAAACTAAATTTCTGCTAAATAATGGTCTCATTTTGTAAGTTAGAGGTCAGAGTCCATATAATCTTTAGAAACTTTTGTGGTGATACAGTGTCAAGCAGAACTGAGAGAGGTCTATGGTTTTAAACTTATGGGAGTGTCTTCACAATTTAGCCCAAGTTATATTATACTATTATCAGAGTAATATGAGAAGAAATCAAATTATCCTTCATTAGCTAATTTCTGTTTAAAGTGAAGCAATATTTCACAGAATATTGATATTTGACACTTCTGCAGGTCATATATAAAAGATGTGCCGTGCTAAATGTCACTACCAGGGCTCCAGCAGATTCTGACACTTGTATGAGGTAAAATTTGAGAACAAGTACTTTAGAATAATAGTTATAGAGGACAGATTTTTTTTCTGTTACTTTTTTCTATTATTTTTCACTAGGTTTTCCTCTAAATAGCTACTTGAAATATTGCTTAGCAAAGAGAAGGTGTTACAAAAGTCTACAAACCAGACACATGGGTTATGGGTGGCAACCAGAAGTCTTAGACAAAGCCAGCCTTTGTATTGATCTAGTATCATGCTATTTTCATGCACCTAAAGGACTGATTTTGTGTCAAATTTCAACTCATCATCATTATTATTATTATTAATATTATTATTAATATTTGAGACAGGTTCTCACAGTGCAGCTTAGGTTGGCCTTGAATTTTCTATGTAGCCCAGGCGGGCCTTGAACTCATGGCAGTTCTCCTGCCTCAGCCTCTGACGTGCTGGGATTACAGTGTGTGCCTGGACAAATTTCCACTCTTGAGTAACCTGGTTTCATGACAGTAAAGAAAAACTGACCTAAGAATCTTACTAATTGGCTACAAAGAAAAATTTGATATAAGAAAGTGAAATATAGGTTTGAACTCATGAAAAATAGAAGAAACTTTGTTTGCCTGAATCAGAAGTAACCCAAGTAGACTTTTTAGAGGATCGATCTTACTGGGTACTCTCTCTCAGGTTCTGGTTGCTGCAGGGCCTCCTCTGATGCTTCTGGTACTGTTATTTGTTCTTCTTTAGATTTCTCCTTAGAAGGAGATTTTTTCTTTAAAGGTTTACTATCTTTCTCTGCTTTCTCCTGGCCTTTCTTTTTACCAGTGTCTTTGGTCTTCTTTTTAGCTTTCTTTTCTTCACGTAAACGCTCTTCTTCTGCTAATCGTTCTTGTTCTTCTTTCCATGCCTATAAATACATTTTTAAAACATAATGACATTTAAAAAAAATCGAATATGCATTCCACTCAGGTACATTTTGGCAAATTTTTGATATGTGGCAGCTCTGACAGATTAAAACACTAGTTAGGAACTGTGGGACAGCCCTGATTCTCTCTCTCACCCAACTTCCTTATACTAAATCTTGCCAGAAATCCCTGTTCAGTTCAGCTTCATCACTCATTCTCTGTTGCAGTTTGCTTAGTTCAAGCTTTTATTATCTTTAGTCTGGACTACGTACTTTTCACTGATCTCCCTGTCTCTTATCCTTCTTCAGATGCAATTTATCTTTAAGTCTGGAAGTGGTCAATCAGCAATATGGTGGACTAGATAGTCTGAGAAACATTTCTGGCACAAATTTTATTTTTTTAAACATGTATTTGGTACAGGGTCTCACTACGCAGCTTGGTCTCATAGCGATCCTCCTATTTTCAGCCTCCCCAGTGCTGGGATTACAGGGAGGCACTTCCGTGCCTGCTCTCAGTGACTTGCTCAGTGTACCTGGGGGGTGGGACTGGTGTGACATGTGGTATCAGAGATTGAACCCAGGTCCCTGGCCTTTCCTAAGCAGGCACCACAAATTTTTTTTTAAAAGGATAAAATATTTTTTAGAAATATAATCATTGTGACGCATAGTTGAACTGGTAGTAAAGAAAAAGACATGCAAATGCACTTAAAGCAGTTACCCCACAAGATAGCTGTAGTACCTGAGCACTAAAGACAATATTTGACCACCCCCAATGGCCTAAATCTGTTTTAACGGATCATGAAGATGAGAGGAAAACTTGGGAGAACAGATCAGAAGCCTCTGAAGAAAGCTGATGTTTAAAAAGCCACCTTTATTGAGTGAACTAGAAACAAGTCTGTGTCCATAGAGGACTATGAGAGCTCTGGCTTGCATCCTTGGTTCTGGTAATAAGCAGTGGGGCAAGGGGTTGGTGTCTCCCCAAGAATGTGTGGCCTCATACTTGTCCTTATGCAGATTTATGACTAACATGCACATTGCTTTAAAATTTTGTTTTAACAAGTTATGAGTTGATATGATCTCACAAATTAAAATCGGAAGACATGGGGCTGGGGAGATGGCTCAGTGGAATAAGTGCTTCCTTGGCAAGCACAAGGGTCTGAGTTCAATCCCTGGTTCTACAAAAAAAAAAAAAAAAAAAAAAATCGGAAGACACAAAGAACTATGCCACTATGAGAAAGAACCAGAAAAAATAAATTGAGAAAGTATATTTGCATTGATACTGTCATAATAAAATATGAATATAAAATAATAACGTGAAATAAACTTTAGTGTGTTTAAATTAATAAAAAGTGGTAATAAAATAGAAGAAAGATGAAAATATATAAAATGATAAGCTGAATTCAATGGTCTTCTTGGAAATGAGGTAGAACTTTTGAATGAGTAGTATTTGAGCAGATAATGCCAAAGACACTTCCAAAATCTATGAAAGATATTAATCCCAACATTCAGGAAGGTCAGTGCATCAAACGCAAGAAATAACAGGGGCAGCTAGACCTGACATAGCATAGTTAATTGTTCAGTGTTTAGGAATTTTCTGAGCCAGTTGATCACCATAACTGTCATCAAAAAAATAAATGATATGAATGCACAATTAAATAAAATATTTAAAACAAAGGCAATGAATACTCAAAATTCATTATTTCGTAATTGCTTTGTTACATTTCACTATTATCTATAGAAACTCTTTGCTGTATCTCACTATTATCTATGATCTTGAGGTTATTTGTACAATGTTATTAATACTGTGGAAACATGGCTCTCTGCAATGATGGGTAACTAGTATAGTACTTAGCATAAGCTAGAGCCTGCCTTCCTATCAATCACTAGCTAAAGACTTTCCCCATCAATTGTTGAGATACTGGCCCTGCCTGGGGACTGGACTCTCTGATTCCCCAAATAATAGCCACCATCAAAGTTGTAGCCTATAAATCAGGTTCTTGGGGAAATCTTCAACTCAAAGGCAGATGCACGGACACCGTAAAGTGAAAGTAATGTTTGTCCATGAACATACTCATTATATACTCATCCCTATGGGCTATATCTGTTGGACCGAATTGTAACAAAGGGTGCATCTCATGGACAGAATCATAACAGAGGGGAAGGACACGTGCAGTTAGCACAGAGGACAAAGTCAGCATGAGCTGCTGAGCATGCTCAGGACCACCCTCCAGGAGAGCTTGGAATCTTAGCCAAAAATTCCTAAATTTCATGAGTGACAGAAGCATCTTTTGGACTAATGAAACAACTCTCAGCAAACTTAGCTTTCCTCAGTATGAGATGGGAGCTGTTTCCCACAAAGATCAAATCCTGTCAAACAAGAAGCTTGGTACTGTCAGACAACCACCCCAGAGATAGGATGGGGAAGAACAGCTGGCTGAGGCTCCCAGCATAAGGAAGCCTCCTTAAAAGCACCTACATTGCTGGCTTTGCAGAGCTTCTGAGTTGGAAAATTCCAGACTTCACTGGGTGACAGAAGAGTGACACGAAACTCCACAGGGACTAAAGTCCAGAGCCATAAGGGAACTCCCCCAACCCTCTACATATTTGTGCTGTGTGCTTGTATGATCATAGAACACATCAGAACTTTGGTATTTCTTGTCTAAGGCATTTAAAATATAGTCCAATATGATTTTAAATTATCATGAAACCATATGTTTCTTCTGTGATTAGAAATGTACAAGCAAAATAAATCCCTGTTAGAGAAAAGCAAAGAATATACAAATTATGAATAAGGTACTGCCTTAATTTGTGGTTATATAAAAATAAATAAAGGTACAGATTTTTTGAAAAACTTATCCTCTGGTGAAAGACAGTTTGGTAGATGGACCATTCTTTCTTTTTAATGACTCCTCAAGGTTCACCATGGAAGATCATACTCCACACAATTTTCCATCACAAAGTAGCTTTGTGTTTGTGATAACTCAGTATCTTTTGTTTTTCTTTGGATTACCTTCAGGGAGCCTTCTAAAATAAATGGGATCTTTTCTTTTTCTTTATCTTTTTCTTGATCTGTTACTTCTGTTTGGTTGACTCCTTTATTACCTATAATCAGAGAACATTAAACCTCTTAGCACTCCGCACAAGATAGAGAAGAACGAAATCTCTGAGTTAGTGGGGATCTAGAAGGATGCCAAATGCAATGCTCCATTTACTCAACTCTCAATTCTTTCATGCTATCTCTGAAGAGCAGCTACTTTGGGTGAGGTTATTAGAGTCCCTGGAGACAGTGCATCTCATTCTTAGTGTCTTGGTATGTTGTAGTTTCTATTGAACTGAATCCCTTGCCCTAAAACTTCCACCTAATTAATTTTAGTTTAATAGCTTAAGACCACACAGTGTACATCTAACTTTTCTATCATAAAGTTTTTAATTAATTAATTAATTAATTAGGTATAGGGCCTCCTTACACAACTAGAACTCCTAGTGATCCTCCTCTCTCAGCTTCTCCAGTGCTGTGATTACAGGCATGTGCCATATTTCCGTGGCTGGCACAATGGGGGTTGAACCTGGTTCCTTGCGCTTGCCAGGCAGGTGCTTAGACTGTTGAGCTATCTCCATCATATTGAAAGCCTTCTCTTTTTATGGTAGGCATTCTCTTAGAAGGTTTGTATCTTTTCTGACTTGAGGGAAGTCTAATGGAATGCCACACCTACCAGGTGCATTTCAATACCAAACTGACCATGTTCTGGATTTCTAGGGATATCTACATATTAAATTTTTGCTTTGTTCAGTGCCATTATATAAAAAAAGGAGGCCAATTTATTAATTTACCTGGTATGGGGCAAGGATTGCTACAGACCTAAGTGTGAGTGGGCAGCCTTAACTTTATTTCTTAAGCAGTCTCATCCATTTGTGAAGGTGCTTAATGATGTGTAGGTGATACCCAAGTAGTGTAGGTGACACCCATTAGGAAGAAGCTGAGCTGCAGATTACACAACCATTTGTAGATGTGGTAAGTGAGTCACCATCAACTGAGTTTAAGTTTCACTTTAGGCCATGTATACCATCCAGCAGAAAAATATAAAAACAAAATATAAAGAAGTAAAGCCATGATGCTATGTTGAGCTGTAGGGGACTCAGGTCAACAATTTCTGACATTGCCAGTGCAGCAGAAGACTCAATACTATTATGGACTACTGGACTCTTTTAGAATATTTTGCTGAGTTCTCACACCTGTAATATTCAAATGACAGAACTAAACAAAAAAGGAGATACAGATGAATGTTCATTTTGTATCTGTGTATTCAAAATGGTTAGGATAGATACATAGTTACTTTCTCTTAATGAATAGACGCATTTGTTCTCATAGTGTTTGTAAATAGGATATCATGTTTGCAACTTGTACAGCAAATAACCACTAGGAAGAAAGTATGCAATGTGTTAATTATTGAAACTGTCCTACCAATTCGATTTCAAACTGTCTCATTGCTATTTGTTTCTCAATAAAATTATAGGAAAAAAATAAAATTAGCCCTTGTACAAAGTCCTTTGGTAATTAACAGAGGCCACAAAAATTAGGGAAATGACAGGATTTTTTTAAAATTAAAACTCACCTTCAACTGTGGTTATCATTAACAATGAATATTAACTGAGACTCCACTTCTTTTGCAAACACTCAGGGAGCCATTTTTATTTGCAGATAAACTGTTTACTGTTCTACTTCTTTCAGTAACCCAGTTTCCTTCTAAAAATAACTCCATTCACTTTGCTTCCCTTTTCTATTTTTCTCCATATTGGCCTAAAGCCATGGAAATTAACAAAAATGACAACTGTATCAACAACAAAAGCTATACATTGTTCCAAGATCCTGGTCTCTGCCATAGGCTTCCATGTATTCCCGTTATCTGTATATGCCTACTATGTAATGACTTCAGGATTCAGATGTTTGTTTTCCTAAGGAGGGTCATGATTGAATCTCATTGATAGAATCCATAGTTAACTAATGGAGATCCAAATACTATGAGTTAACTTCATATACTGCAAACAAATCTTAGATAGCTTAATTCACCAGTCCTACCAATGAGAACATTTATAATTTCCTTAATACATAAAATTTTATCTGCAGATTAAATGTTCCAGATTTGACAGGCAGTTGGGTCAATACAAGACACAAATTCCATTATCCTGTACAGGTACAACTGCATCATATTTGGAATACAGCTATCTGAGGGAAAGAAAAGTCAGAGGAATTTTGTGGGCAAAATTTTTCATCTTCTAATATCCAGTCTTAATTAAAGTAAGGAACAGTGTAACTCTGGGCCTTATTCTAGGTATTAGTTAAATGGGTTACTTACTTTTAGATGTTTTGAGAGCAATATCTTTGTGGGAAAAATAATTTTTGGCACTGGAAGGTTTCAATTCTGTCTCACCTTTGGTGCTAAGGATTTCCTCAGCCATCCTAGCTTCCTGATACACAGCCTCCTCTTTTGTGACCCAGTCTTGAATGGATTCCGCAATAAGCTCCAAGTAATTCCTAAATCAGACAAAGAACAGATTGCAAGTGAGTCAATATTAAAGTCAAAAATACTTAGTTTTTTTTTTTTTTTTGCGGAACTGGGGATTGAACTCAGGCCCTTGTGCTTGCCAGGGAAGCACTTATTCCACTGAGCCATCTCCCCACCCCATATGCACATTTGAAAGGGAGGTCTTTTAAGTGAAGGATTAAATAGTTTGATGTCAAGAGTAAATGAGAGTTAGAAAGACAGCCACTTGGCACCATGACTTGGAGATTAGTAGGGCAAAAGCTTGTGTTAGGACAATTTTATAGCACAATATAAGCCTTTTAAATTGACCATCAGCTGTTGAGCTCACTGAATGAGCTACAATATTCTGTAGTTCTGCTATAAAACTTGCCAGCTTTGGGATTATCCATATTTTATACACCATTTTGTAAGCTGCTTGTACTTTCTTGCTTTTATACCCAGTTTGTTGCTTACTAAGGATCAGTAACCTTTGCTTCCAATTCCCTTCAGAAACTGTTGATTAATTTAATTATCTTCCAATTAAATGTTACATATAATATAAATTTTGAAACAGAGTTGCTCTTGACAAAATAAGTTACATGATTTGGGTTTGACAATAAAGATTAGCTAAATCAAAAATTATATAAAAGCAAATA